GCACGCTCATAGGAAAAAAATTATTGAAATACTCTATTTTAAGAATTATGACTTTAGGGGTGGCTGGGGGGTGAGAGTCATGTACCCCAGGCTGGCAAGAACCATTTTCACATGACAAAATACCCTCATAAAACCTTTAACTAGGCGCCGCACTTTAATCATAAAGTTGCCACGACCCCCTCATAAAGTGCCCTATGCTCCCTAACTACATCCCATTGGTAGCATTCAGTAATAGCATTAAAGACGGCGAAGAAACATTTTCCATCAACCTACTAACTATTATTCAGTTTATTCATCAATGACCTGGGCCTGGGCAATCTACTTTCCTCCAATTTTCTAATGTTCTCGAAGGATTTGAAGATATTTCGGGATCGGGAAGTATCATCAACTCATGATATTCTTCTCAAAATGATCTAAATATTGTATATGAGTGATGTAAGCTCAACGACATGTCACTTAATATCGACAAATGCAGCTTTATGCGCTTCACCCGCCTGAGAATTTATATTCCCGCGGAATATTCCATAAATAATCTTGCTCTTATTGAGGTGTTTATTGTTAAGGACCTTTGCGTTTACTTACACCAAACTTATGTTCGTAGAACACATCCAGTATATAATAGGTAGGGCTAATAGAATATTGGGTTTTATTGAAAGAATCAGCAAGGACTTTATGAACGTATTTGCTTTGAAGGTGTTGTATACGTCGCTGGTTTGATCCATTTTGAAATTTTCAAACATAGCTTGGTCATCATATTATCAGGTTCATATTAGACCGTCATATAGTGACAGATTTAGGTGCCCCATTTTCGCATACAAGCCGCGAAAAGGGTTGAAAAATACATCGATTTTGAATAGGATGGAGGGATTTTTACGGGTGGCTCCTGGGGATAACGTATGGAAAATCCGTAACACAGAAGAAAGGAGTCATATTTTCTCGCAAGCCGTGTTCACCAGAGGATTAATTGATAGAACCTGGTTTTGGAAAAATTAAGGAGTGGGTATTGCAGGAGCCTAACAGGTTGAAATAAAGGGGTAATCTTGTAAGGAAAATTGAGATTTTGGGCGATTTTTTCACAAAACCTCATTGGAAGGATGAACATTTTCAACGTAGGTAGCAAGAAACATATTATTGGGTTGAGTGACGCGAATGGAAAAGTATATTTTGGGGTAACAAAGTAAATTCGAATATTCCATATGTTATCCCCAGAAGCCACTCGTAAATTTCCCTTCGTTCTACTTAAAATCGATGTGCTTTTCAACCCTCTTCGAGGCTTGTATGCGGAAATGGGGCACCTAAAACTGTCACTATCTGACGGTCTATGGGTCTATACAACACAGACTTGAAAATGTTCAACCTAAATCTATAAAATATGCTAAATATAAACTTTTGCAATGGAATTGAATTTGACAATGATCAGATTATACAGGGTGTCCACTTAGTGCGATATCGGACGATATCTTCTTACAGGGTGATGCAAGAAAAAAAAATTAAATTACAAAGTTGTTTGATACTTCAATATGCATAAGTTAAAAATATGTATTTTTGAATATACAGGGTGCTTCGTTTATGGGGTATGCAGAACTTTGTTTTTTCAAATGGAATACCCTGTATGTGATTGCATATTTGGATTCTACGTAAAATTTTGACCAGATTCCAGTAATATACTCTATACTTAAGTTCAACTGTTTTGGAAATTATTGACAGTTGAAAATTGACTTTTTGCAACTTTGACAGGTTGTAAAACCTAAACGGTTAATTTTAGACGAAAACCGATTTTACATTCCTATCTTAGATTTTCATAAACATCATTTGACATCAACTTTGAATTTAACCGGAGATTAAATTTAACTGGAATTTTTATTCTTGGAGAAATTTTTTTCGGGTGCCACGCCCAAAAACATTTATTTTAAGCCTTCAAAAAAACATTTGGAAAATCTTTCACGGCAAAGAGGAGGCACTGCCCCCCCTGACGAGCCGCCACTGCTAGGTACTAGATAATTACTACGTTTTCATGGAGTTTTCAAATCGTTTTCAATCCAATCCTCTTCCCCGTTTCCATGCATAGCCAAAATTTGAATTGAAATCGAATTGCAAGCTTCTGAATTTGAATTTCGATACGATCCCAAAAAAAGGTGAAACGACCTTGAGACTGAAATTGATTCCAACACCTGTTTTCATGGCGTTTTCAACACCAAAACCGTATTCAAAACGATTTTAAAACTCCATAAAAACGTAGTAAATATTTAACAAAATTTATAAAAGTTGCATCATGGTTACTTTTTCCATAATATATTATATCAAATCAAGAGCATTCAGTAAATAGTTGAATACTTAGTCAAAAATTTAAAGTAACATCCAACATTCGGCAAAGTCGGCAGTATCAGTATCAAAGCTAGATATTATACAATAATATTTCTGTTTAGATTAGGGTGAAAAAAAAAAAAAAAAAGATACCTTGGATTCCTAAATAAAATGCATGCATTGCAGTATCTATTTTCTATGTAGACTAAGCTTATAAAATAATTATTGTTACATAAATAATAGAGTTTACAGAATCAATATTATATAATGTTAATTAATTTTTTTCGTTGTGTGGAAAAAAAGTTTTATCAGTGGGGTCTGCTTTGGCCGCCCCTATTTTTGGCCGTCCGTGTGCGGTGCACACTCTGCACACATGGTAGTGGCGGCCCTGTTGACCAAAGGCTGATTTTTGTTAATAGGACATCCTATATATTAATAGCTCATAGGATAGCTCTACTTTCGCTGATTTCAATGATATTTTTTTTTTCGAGTTTTCGAGGAAAAATCAGCAAAAGCAGAGCTATCCAATGAGCTAATATTGATGAATAAATAACTTATAGCTTTATAGCTATTTTTCAGAATTGGGAAAAATCGAAAATCTAGGAGTAAGGTTCCTAAAAGTTGATAGGTTGCTTGGTAATGGGTAACTTGTTGACGCATTTGGGATGGCTCATGGAGATTTGCATTATGCTGAGGCACCCCAGTCCCCAGATGACGTCCTAAAGTTATCAGGCAACCCACCTCCCTCAAACAAACTTGGTCTGGAAGTATGTTTTTCTTGTTAAAACACTCCAAATTGCAACACCCTGTACTTGTTCTACCGAAAATCAGGAAGATCTGCTAGTTAGTAAAATGGTACCAACTGACATATTTTGCGAGAATAATATCCAACTGAAAACGTTCTAATACAAAATCGGGAAAATAGTATAATATACACGCGTTGCAGAAGGCTATTGTGGCAGCTTGCAACTTGTATTTCAATATACTATTACAGCTACTTGTAAAACTGTTTAGGTATCTCAAGAAATTCAAGAATTTCTTGGTTTCTTGACAAGAAATCTTGATCTTGAAATAGGAAATCTTGACTTGTCTTGAAAATAGTTTCAGATTTTTTGACTTGAAATTTTCTTGAATTCAAGTCAAGATCAAGTCAAGAACAAGAAATTTCTTGAAATTCGTGAAACCCTATTTCTATGAACTATTGTTTTATGTAGAAATTATCCATTGCAACGATCACATACCTGTTAGTATTGCCGGCTCTTGGACTATAACGGATAGAGATCGTTATCGATATCGCTATGGCACTTGCTGTCTTCTTCTCTCTTTTCGAAATCAATAGAGATAGCGAAAATATCTCTATTCGTTACCGAATTTCAGCCCAGGGCCTTGATGCAGATACCAATTTGCCATTCTTGGTACTTATTGTACCTATAGTCGTGTCAATAGTACGCGAATGTAAACAAATTTTGTGAGACATTAGACTTTTTCAATGTGTCACATACGAGATTTAAAAATAAGGGTAGTTTTAAGTTATTAATCATCCTTGTAAACTGTAAATGTTGATACGTTAAAGAAGAAGAATAAATAAATAACTCTTTTCCACAGAATGTGCATGCATTTATCAGGAAATCTGTTGACGAGGATTGCCTGAAATTTAGGCTTGCTTCATTTCTCATGTCGCATTTCTCCTTTCAGAACAAGGAATGTGTTAACGCATTGTTGCTTTCGCACAAACAAAAACCTTCTGGATGGAGCGTATCTTCCACCCAAAGTTCTGTGGCATCGTTTTGGGACACATTTTGTTTCAAGCTTCCCAAGAAAATAACTATTCTTAGCCGTTAAAAGCAGTAAATTCCATCTGATTTCTAAACAAACAAAAATTACACCTATATACTGGCTGCTGTTTGTAGTTAAGCTGGATGAAGATGTTGATTGTCAATACAAAGTTTAATACAGATCCGTGCGTGCTCAACATTTGATGCTGTCAGAGGAGACGTCGATCTTTTAGTTCTGCTGACAGCATAAGCAATATTTCAAAGGAACAGTTACTCATACTCATACTTGTTATTCGTTTTTTTCCCAAAAAATATACCTAAGTTTCTATTGCCTGCTTCGCAAACGTGGGAGAAGAAAAACTGCTGATGGGCAAAAATTAATTTACGAAAAAAATTTAATTTTGTCGTGTTCGCTGAACTAACTGTTGCCAAGAGTTTAAGAAAATGCATTTTTTATCCAAGAAGACGCTTAGCCATTTACCTCTTCAAGGTGGAAAACTTGGATTTTTGATCAAAGTCCACACCTAAACAACATATTCCGAAATGGCTCCTACCTCAACTTTCACAAGCCGTTTGCGATTTTTTCCCCACTTACTGGCGTGATTCTGCAAATTACTATATATTTCAAAATCTCATCTCCAACACCTCCAAATTAAGTTTCACAAAAAATCCTTAATATAAATTCCTACACTTGAAATCACTGATCCATTAGGGTAATATTTTTGTTTATTCCAAATTCATGGCCTATTAAACTTAATTTTTTTTAAAAAACACACTCTTGTTTACGGAATTAGTAATTTACCAAAATACATTAATATTGCGTGCATTATCTTTCATTAGAGGATTTGTTTATAATAATATGCATCTTTTTGGGAGGTCACAAAAATTAATATTATCATTTACAGTCTGGCTATTCAGAGGAGTTCCCCACTCAACGTCTGTAGTATTTTACTTAAAAACTCAATTTGGAATATAAATAAGAATTTCAGTTCAATCAGAAGTCAGTCCATGCTAACATTTTATACAGCATTTATTCATAAAAAAAATATGGCGGGCTTTTTGAAAATGTGTTTTCTTGTTGTGTGTGCTCTCCAACTGTGTTCTGGTTTTCCTACAACAGCCGATGGAAGAAATTTTTACCAAGTTGGATTGCCTTTAGAATTTCCACAGGAAGTCAAAGATAACGACAAAGGATTGGTTAATTTTGAAATAATATTGGAGGAAAATGGAAAAAATGACATTTATGGACCATCCACCTTGGAAGTTGTGCCAGAGGATCGGAATGAAAAAAGGATTACAAATACTAAAACGAATTGTGTTGGCCCAGTTACCCTCATGGCGATGTGCTTCTAGAGTTTGAATCTAGGATTGAACAATTTTTATACAGTATTATTATTTTGGTAATTTGTTTTTTTTTACTTCGGAATACATTTAAGTATTTGATTTTTTTAAAATTTTTAACAAATTGCTATTTTTAATTTATTATTTAAAAACGTTGTTTCATTTTTTATGGTAAGCCTATAATTTTAATTAACAAAATATGTTTTTTTGTTGGTGTGAATTATTGTTTTCTAATATTAATATGTAGATTTTACTCAAACCAAATTTATGTTATTTATTGTATTTTGTAAAAGATTTTGTACCTATTTTAATAAAAGTGAATCAAAAAATCGTTGCGTACATAAAAAAACTCTTTCATGCAGATTAGGTTCTATATTATTTCTTCTAACTAATAATTAACATGTCGTTTATATGGATATTATTTGCATTTACTTAGTATAAATACGTTTCTTGCATCTAAAATAAGCATAAAATTCCAATAAAAAAACTGAAACCGATGCTGATACACCTCCAACTAGTACTACAGCCGCTGGATAACAATCTATAATTCCAACGCTAAAAAATGTGGAACTTTTCGAAGTGCATTGCGGTTTTCTGGTATATATTAAGTAATTTTCCCTTTGCTGCAGTCCACTCTCTTGTAGGAGACGAAATCTAAAAAAAAATTTAAATAGCAAAGGCTTTTATAATAATTCTATAAGCTTTAAACATATAAGGTTTCTTTTACCCTAAAGCTTTAAATTTACCCAATCTTCAGCAGTTCCTTGTAAGAAGAATTTTTTTGTATGGCAAACCAGGGGTCAACCACTTGTATGAAAGAAATTTCTTTTAAACCGCATTTTTCATCTTCACGAAAAGTTTCACCTGAAAAAAAAAGTGTCCCAACTAGGATGATTTGTTATTCAAATTTTTCATCGTACTTGGACTATGCCAAGAGAGCGCCAGTTTGGTACAATGATAATCTGCTAAGAACCTTCAAGTTAGATAACGATAGGAATGGGGTCTTTATACTACATGATACTACTAATAACGATAGGAATGGGCCGAATGGGGTCTTTATACTACTATAGTATTTTGTTATGGTATCTATTTTTTTCAATTGCATGAGATTTTGTAAGTCGTGAAGACCCAATAAACTTCATCCAAGCTAGGTCATAGAGTCCAAATAAGAAGGAGCTGATAACTTTCTTTATTTTTGTATGTATAGTACCAAAGCCCCCTACAGTAATAAGCCATGAAGTAAGAAATCTGGCAACATGTCGTGTGGGTCCTATGTTTTCGATTGAGGTTAGGTTTTGGATGTGTTTATTATATTTATTTTATTTATTTGTTATTATTATAGCGCCTTTGATTCATCTGTAATAGTTCAAAAGATCAATAATTGTGCCCTGTGCACTTTTTTATCAAAATTTTAACCGCTACCTTAATCATCTTTTGGTTTGTTTACTCAAATTGTTCCCACAGAGCGCCGACGAACACTTTGTTTTTGTCTTTAGTCAAGGTAAGAAATTCATCATTTTTATATCAAAATATTACATTATGCAAATTTTTTATTTATTATAACTGCCCCGATTATGCTGTGTTCGAGGTTACAAGTGAACTTTGCAAATTATGGTTACCAGCGATTCATAAAGAAAACTTCCAAATTACAAAGAGTTCAGTTGTGTGCTGTAAAGATTTTGATACTACAGAAATGCGAAGACTGGCATTACAAAAACAAAGAAGGAACTTGGTGTGAGCACCCTCTGATGCAACCTAAACTAATTAAGGGGGCAATTCCCAATTCCTCATAGGCTGAAAGTACCTGTTAGCCGGCCACCCCCTGTTGTCGGACACTTTACGACAAAATATCCAATAAATAGGAAAATATTATATCAAACCCTTTTTTAAAGTAATTCCTACTTTCAGACACTATTTCCCCATCAGTTTTTGTAATACCGCCCTCTTTATAGACAAAATTAAGAAAAATAATAATATGTCGGCTGTTTTTCCCAACACAGCCCTTTTGATCAAGTGGAAAAATTTGCTAGTGTGAAGCTAAGAAGGAAATAGTAAGTAAAAATGTTCCTACTCCATTTTTCGATACTTTCTTGATGTTTTTAAGTTATAAACATGTTAATTTACAATTATAACCATAAAAATTAAATGAAAATTAATATTTTGTTTATTTTATTAAATGTCCGAATAACCGGTCCTATAAATCAGCAGAATCCACTTCTCGGCCACTCTGTCCGACAATTGGTCCGGCACGTTGAAACTATATGTATCTTTTTCTAGCCTATTTGATTTTCAACTTAATTTTCCTTATCAGATACGTTAGACGACTGTATCGAGATTCTATGGACCAGTTTGCGGACACTATAAACCACAAAGGCGTCAAATTGTAGTATACCTGAAAAGATGTCCGAGAAAAGGTAGGTGTAAAGTTCTCGGACATTTTTACATTACTTATATGGGTATGGGGTTTGGGGTAGTGCTTTCTGCTTTCATTTTAATAAAAAAGCGTTACAAGTGTACAGAGAATAAATCTGATAAAAGTATTTATGAAATAGAAATTGAAGAAGCAATGGAAAAATCTCCTCTTAAAGATCAAAGCGATTCTCCTGGAACTGAGAAACCTGATAAAACAACAGACATAGGACTGGAGGCTCAAAAAAAAACTCCCATTAAACTGCCAAATGTTGCCGTTGTTGTAAGTCCTTTCAGTCGCCACCTCCAATTTCCGGAATCTATCAAATGAGAGCCAAGAAAACAAAAAAAAAGAGAAATTACAAGTGCAATCTCATCGAAGGCATGGAGATTATATTATGAAAGAAAGGAACAAAAAAAAGAAAAAAAAACTTGAAGCACAAAAAAAGAAAAAAAGAGGAAAAACTAGAGAAACAAATTACCAAAAAAAGTGCAAACAATGATGGAAGAAAAAAAAAATTGACTAAAAATTCCAAAATAAAATATTGGTTGTGGGAAGTGCCCAAACTGGTACCATTTAGCATGTACTAGTTTATGTGGACGAAAATACGTATTTCTCGGACACGCGTCCGACAACGGGTCCTTTTGTGTCCGAGAAATGTGATGATTGTCAGACAACAGGCAAAATGCATGTTTTTTGAATAAAAACATTTTTCTATAAAAATACAAAACCTTTTACCCTTTTTTGTTGCAGCAATCAATTTTATATACTATAAGGTATCATAAAACATTATTTAAATTTGATTCGCTCTATCCACTAATTTTCAATCACCATTTTATTCCAGAATTTGCCTTAAGTGGCCGACAACAGGTACCTATCTAACAAGACATTCAGTGACTAAACGAAAAGATCCCCAGAAGACAGAAGACAGGAACTACAGGAAATTTTGAAACAGGAAAATTGCAGAACTATTCAATTACCAATTTTGAAAATCTAGGCAAGAAAAATATTGAGTCCAAACTCCAAAATGTCTCTTAAATGAGTAGTTATAAGTATGTGTTGGTGTTTTATTTATCCAGTTCATTCTTTTTCCCAAACAAATTTCGAAACAAATTACAATATCATATTTTTGAAAAAATATAAAATCAAATCAATCATCTAACCTAAAAAAGCTGCTTTCAAAGGCAGACCGGCAGACCCACTCAAGAATACAAATGCGGTGTTGCCATTTTTACTTCATGGCTTATTACTGTAGGGGGCTTTGATAGTACCGAATGACAGGGTTTATTTTGAACCATTTAGCGCACAAATTGTTTCAATATTTCGTTTTTAGATTTCTTAAATTTTCTTATACATTTAGGCCCGGTTTATTCATCTTTGACGGGTTATCTTGCTGGTAACAACTATCTACAAGATAAAGGACATTGCACAAATCTTATGATTTTTCGGGGACTGGTCGATTTTTTTTTTAATTTGATATGTTGTAGTAGGTACTAACAAAAAAAAGTATTTTTCAACATTGCACCAAATCTCTAACTATATATGGTGACCCAATAAAGTGGGTCCGATTATGAAACAAGCCTTTTATTTGTCGATTTTAGCGCGTCCTGCAAGCTACATATCGGGATTTTTGTTTTCGATTTGGCAAATAAATAGTCTAGATGAGCCTAATATACTATACAGGGTGGCTAAGCTTGCCTATTTTTTCAGAAATCCTGTCCTATTCTTAGAAACAGTGTTACCAATAAAGTCGCGCTGGATTTTATTTGCCCGTAACTTTTTTAATTTTTGTCCGATTTAAAAAATGTGGTCTTAAAATAAAGCTTATATCACAGGGATGTCATGGAATCTGAAAAAATGAAAAATGTGATAAAATTCGAGATCGCGGAAAGTGATAAGGGTATAACTTTTTATTCGATTGTGGATTCTTACGAACAATAAACCGAGTATGAAAGTGAAAACAGGACCCAAAAGGGCAATGTTGAGAGTAATTACCTAATCACAATTCATCAGTTGTTACAATTCCTAAAAATTGGTGTGATATAATATCATACATATTCAGCGTGTGATATAATATCGCACAGGTATAATTAATTAAGGGCGTGGACATTTTTTAGGCACACCGTGTAGTTTATTCAAAGTCTTGGATCAAAAAATTAACGAGTTTATCATACTCCTAGTGGGTAAAAGCAAAGAATATTATAGTTAACTATAGAAAACCTACGCTTATGGGCGACGGCAGACCGCTAGAGGCGCTGCTCCGGTGTTATAAATTGAAATAAATTATATTCGCGCTAGCTTTTCGGCAAAAAAATTTTAACAGCGTTGCGCGATTCTCTCGGGCATTTAATATATTTTCTGTGATTTTACCTTGTAAGATGATAGACTAACTGCCGCGGCGGTTTTAGAATTTTTTACATCGACATATTAGATGATACCTAGTTGCTACGTCTAATTTGCTGTATAAATAGAAAATATATAAACTAAAACAAAATTATGCTCTGCGTGAGATAGGGAATGTTGAGTGGAGTCATTTTTGAAGTGAAAACTTCTTTAGAATCGTTGGGAGTGATTTGAGACTCGATGAAACGAAAAAGCGACCCGATGAAGCTAAACGAAAAAGCAACACTTTTTTAACACGCTTATATTAATACAAACACACAACACACAACAGGAACCTGGAACAAGCCAAGTGAGCTGGAACAAGTCTGGATAAATCTGGATGAAGTCTGGAAAAGTCTGGAAATCTCTGGAAACGTCTGGAAAGAGCCTGGAAATTTCTGGCAAGGGTCGGAAAAATTCTGCCAAAGGTCCCAAAAGACCTGGAGATCATTTTCCAGAATTCGGATCAGTTTGTACAAGTCTGGATAGGGTCTGGATAAATCTGGATAAAGTCTGTAAAACTCTGGAAAACTCTGGATAAGTCTGGTTATTGTCTGGAAAAATCTAGAAATTTCTGGAAACGTCTGGAAAAGACTTGGAAATTTTTGGAAAGGGTTGGAAAAAATCTGAAAAAGGTTCCAAAAGATCTGGGGATCATTTTCCAGAATCCGGATCAGTCTGAACAAGTCTGGAAAAAGTCTGGATTAATCTGGATAAAGTCTGGAAAACTCTGGAAAGCTCTGGAAACGTCTGAAAAGAGCCTGGAAATATCTGGAAAGGGTCGGAAAAATTCTGCCAAAGGTCCCAAAAGACCTGTGGATCATTTTCCAGAATCCCGATCAGTCTGTACAAGTCTGGATAAGGTCTGGATAAATCTTGATAAAGTCTGTAAAACTCTGGATAAGTCTGGAAAAATCTGGAAACGTCTGGAAAAGACTTGGAAATTTCTGGAAAGAGTTGGAAATATTCTGAAAAAGGTCCCAAAAAACCTGGGGATCATTTTCCAGAATCCGGATCAGTCTGAACAAGTCTGGATTAATCTGGATGATGTCTGGAAAACTCTGTAAAACTC